TCACACAATACCACATGATTTTACAATCTGAATATTTTATTTTGCATGGTTATACAGTATGAATGATTAGCTCACAATCCGAGATAGTTTTGTAAGTTTTGTTCTCCAAAATGGTGTTAAGTATTATAGGGCAAAAAAATTACATTTACTTTAACAAAATCAAGAAAGATGTATTTGACTGGGACAGTGGCACCAGCAGATACATAGAGGCTCCCAGCCAGCCATCCCCCACCTCTCCCCACAAAGGGGACCAAGAGCCAAGAACCCCCAGACCCTCCCATGGCAGCTGGCACACTTATGTAAAGGTCAGGCTGTGAATGACTCATCCGCGATGCTCAGAAGTGAGAGGACTGAACAGCAGGCTGAACTCTGGAGCACCTCACTTCCTCCTCTTGGTGGAGTACAGTTTTTCTTCAAGTGGGACCGGGACAATCCCCTCACACGCCTTTACTTCCTGGGTCAGAGGGTGTTTCACAATATTAGGTCTGATGACGTCAATGTCTCGAGACAAGTGGTCCAGCATGCTTTCCACAGTTGTTGTTGGTGCATAAAAATCCACCAAGAAATACCTGCAGTAAGAGAGAAATGCGTGAACGCCTGCCTCTGAACTCCAATCCTCCCACTCCGGTCGATGCCTCCATTCTGCCCCACCCAGACAAAGACATCACCTGCACACAGATGCATACGGCCAGCTCTCCAGGCATCAGCTACACACATGTATCCTTCTGCTGACCAGCTACCCCAGTGTGCTGGCATGCCCAGCCTCCCTTCCCGTGTCCTTTCCCATTACCCTGTTGTGAACATTTGAATCCCAACAAACTAGCACAGACGCTCACACAGTCAGAGTGGCAGGGCCGCCCCGCGTTAGAGTGCGCACGCCTCTGTGCTGGCTGCCGCAGGGATGCAGAGCCTTGTGACGTTACACGTAGTGGGAAATACGAGAGTATGGTTAAGTTAGGGTGCAAACAGAATATGCTGTTCAACAAGACTGAACTCAACAAACCATTAGTTGGCGTATTTTGTGAAAACATCTATTAGGTAGTCTTCTAATTTTCCAAATGATTTTACAAGTAACTTAATGCACCAGAGTCACAGTGAGCCCATCAGCTACACTTCACAAGACAGGCCTGGGACTTGTCTAAGACAAGTGCACATTCACAAACTGACCAAGAACAAGAGAATTACTTAAAAAATTACTTCCCCATCGTGGGGAAGGAAACAAACATCCAGATCCAGGAAGCCCAGCGAGTTCCGAATAAGAACCCATAGCGACCCACACCAAGACACATTATAATTAAAATGACAAAAGTTAAAGGCAAGGAGAGAATATTAGAAGCAGCAAGGGAAAAACAACTACATACAAGGGGACTCCCATAAGACTATCAGCAGATTTTTCAGCAGAAATTCTGCAGCCAGAATTGAGTGCCACAATATAGGCAAAATGCAGAAAAACTTCCAACCAAGAATACTCCACGGCATCACTGGCCAGTGTGGCTCAGTTGGTTGGGGAGTCATCCCATGCACCGAAAGGTTGCTGGTTTGATTCCTGGTCAGCGGACATACCTAGGTTGTGGGTTTGATCCCTGGCTAGGGCATGTACAGGAGGCAACCGATTGATGTTTCTCTCATCTCTCTCTCTCTCTCTCTCAAAAATAAAAAATAAAAAACAACAAATAAATCAGTAAAACATCCTCAGTTGAGGATTTTAAAAAAACAAAAGAAAAAGAATACTTTATGGCAAAGTTGCCATTCAGAACTGTAGGAGAAATAGTTAAACCAGCCTTACAAGAAAGGTACTTCTTTTGGCTGAAAAGTAAGAGTGCTAATTAATAACAAGAATACACATGAAATAATAAATCTCACTGGAAAGGTGGGTATATAATAAAGGTAGTAGATTTATCACTTATAAAGCTAAAGAAGGTTAAAGACAGAAACAGTAAAAATAACTATGATTACGATAACTAGTTACGGGATATACAAGGTAAAAGATGTAAACCGTGACATAAAATGTGGGAGAGAGTAAAAATGTTGAGCTGTAGAATGGGATCCAACAAGTTGTTATCAACCTAAAATAGACGGTTATGGATGTAAGCTGTAACATGCAAGCCTCATTATACCACCAAGCAAAACCTACAGTAAGTTCACAAAAGAGAAGAGGAGGAATGCAAGTAAACCACTGACTAGTCATCAACTACAAGGAAGAGAGCAAGAGAAGAAGGAACAGAGAAACTACAAAACAGCCCGCAAACAATTAACAAAAGGACCACCAGTGCACACCCATCAATAATTACTTTAAATGTCAATGGACTAAGTTCTTCAGTCAAAGACAGAGTAGCTGAGTGGATAAAAAGATAAAACCCATTTATATGCTGCCTACATGAAACTCCCTTTAGATGTAGGGACACACAGACTGGAAGTGATGGAAGGGAAAAGGTATTCCATGCAAATGGAAACAAACAAAAAAGCGAAGATAGCTATACTTATATTAGACAAAGTAGACTTTAACACATTGTTTGCGGGTAGTTTTTATCGCGCGCAAACAGGTGGCTCTACTACTTACAGTCAACGTAAAACGTATAAATACGTTTCCCGCATACAATGTGTTAAAATGAAGAGAGTAATAAGAGACAGAGAAGGGCATCCTATATAATAAAAGGCTAATATGCAAATCGACCAAACAGCAGAACGACCGGTCGCTATGATGCGTACTGACCACCAGGGGGCAGATGCTCAAGGCAGGAGCTGCCCCCTGGTGGTCAGTGTGCTCCCACAGGGGGAGCACTACTTACGCAGAAGCCAGGCTCGTGGCTGCTGAGCGCAGCAGCGGTGGTGGGAGCCTCTCCTGCCTCCGTGGCAGCGCTAAGGATGGCTTAGGCCAGTGGTCGGCAAACTGCGGCTCGCAAGCCACATGCGGCTCTTTGGCCTCTTGAGTGTGGCTCTTCCACAAAATACCATGTATGGGCGCCCATGTACAGTGCTACTGAAACTTTGTGGCCCATGCACAGAAGTCGGTATTTTGTGGAAGAGCCACACTCAAAGGGCCAAAGAGCCGCATGTAGCTCGCGAGCCGCAGTTTGCCGAGCCGCAGTTTGCCGACCACTGGCTTAGGCTCATGGGAAGCGGGCCTAAGCCATCAGCTGGACATCCCCTGAGGGCTCCCAGACTGTGAGAAGGCACAGGCCAGGCTGAGGGACCACCCCCCACCCCGAGTGCACGAATTTCATGCACGGGGCCCTCTAGTTACATAATAAAGGGGTTAACCCACCAAGAGGATCTAACACTTGTAAACATTTATGCACCCAACATAGGAGCACCTAAATATATAAAGCAAACATTCAAAGACCTAAAGGTAGAAATAGACAGCAATACAATAATAAGGGATTTTAATACCCCATTTACATCAATGTATTGAACATTCAGACCAAAAAAAAACCAATAAGGAAACATCTGCCTTAAATGACACATAATACCAAATGGACTTAACATATACAAAGGACATAACATCCAAAAGCAACAAAACACACATTGTAGTTAAGTATACGTGGAATATTTTTCAGGATACATCATATGTTAAGGCACAAAACAAGTCTTTTTTAAAATTTTTTTAATTTCAGAGAGGAAGGGAGAGGGAGAGAGAGATTGGAGCATCAATGATGAGAGATCAATCACTGATCAGCTGCCTCCTGCACGCCCCCTACGGGGATCGAGCCTGCAACCCAGGCATGTGTCCTTGACCGGAATCGAACCCAGGACCCTTCAGTCTGCAGGCTGACGCTTTATCCACTGAGCCAAACCGGCTAGGGCACAAAGCAAGTCTTAATAAATTTTAAAAGATCTATATAATAATGTCAAGCATCTTTTCTGACTACAATGGTATGAAACTAAAAATTACACAAGGAAATCTGGACAATTCATAAATATGTGGAGATTAAACAACATGCCACTGAAGAACCAATGGGTCAAAGAAGAAATTAAAAGAGAAATGAAATTTAAAAATCCCTTGCGATAACGGAAATGAAAATACAGGTTTTCCTCGCTTTCCCACAGTAGACCAGGCCTAGGAAATCTTTTGGAAGCCGAAATGGAGCCAAGTGAAGGAGCAATTATCAACAATTTATAGGAAAAAAAATTTAGCATTCCCAGACCCAGGCCCCAAATGTAATGCACATACAATGTGTTCATTTCATTCCCACAGTCAGACTCTTCATTACGCCCAGTGTTATGCTGACTGTGACTCCCACACGAGCTCTCTCCGGCCTTCCTGGTGCCTTGGGGCCCTTCTTGCTAATGGATACACAACACCAGCGGTAAGTCAAGGGACAGCACAGATGCTCAGTCACAGTTCACAGCGTGGCAGGGCCCCTGCTTTAGAGGGCGCACGCCCCTGTGCTGGCTGCCGCAAGACCACGCTGAATTCTGTCCTATCGATGGGCATTTAACAAAACCCCTTACCCACTCCTGATAAGGACTCAGCCAACTACAGAAGGTAGCTTCTGCAACCTCATCAAGAGCATCCTTGAAAAACGAACAACTAACAACACACTAACTGGTGAACATCTGAATGCTCTCCTCCTCAGACTGAGATAACCCGGAAGTCTGCTCTCACCACTTCAACATTGTACTGAAGGTCTTGCCAGCGCGATAAGGCAAGAAAAGAGGAAGTAAAAGGCATCCAGCCTGGTAAACAAGAAGCAAGACGGTCTTCATTTGCAGATGTCATGATTGGGTTTATAAAAAATCTGAAGAAATTTACAAAAAGATGTAAATTTTTTTGTAAATTTCTTCAGATTTTTTATAAACCCGATCATGAACTAATAACTGAGCTCAGTAAGCTTATAAGACATGATATTAATATATCAAAAATAAAATCAATGGTATTTCTATATACTAGCAACAAATAATCAGACCTTGAAATTAAATATAAAACACTTAGGAATTAATCTGACAAAAGATGAGCAAGACCTGAACACTAGAAACTACAAGCGGCTGTGAAAGGAAATGAAAGGGAACCTACATAATGGAGAAGTGCACGTTGCCCGTGGGTAGGAAAATTCCAATTTATTTAGATGCCAATTCTCCCAAACTGATCTACAGATTCGGAATCCCAATCAAAACCATAGCAGATTCTTTTGTTAGAAATTGACAAACTGATTCTAAAGTTCATATGGAAATTCAAAGCATCTAAAACAGCCAAACTAACGTTAATAAAGAATTAGTGCAAGACCTAACACTACCTGATTTCAAGACTTATTCTAAAGCGCTGGTAACCGAGGCAGCACGTGTTCCTATACAGGTACACACACCAATAGGACAGAATGAAGAGTCCACGGCGGACCCATACAGGTATGTGCAACTGGTTTCAGACAAGAGATGGGAAGGCAGCGCAGCGGAAGGACAGTCCTTCCGACAAGTGTGGCCACAACAATCCACTGTCCACATGCAGAACCATCAGCCTTCACCGCTGAGGAGGAGGGGCCACAGGTCACTCAAAACGGAACAGGAGCTACACAGACAACATGAAGCGAGGAAAGTAAAAGGGGCCTAAGAAAAGCCCTTAGTGGCCTTGCTG